AGGTGGACAAAGACTACAGACCTCACTCAGGGAGAAAGACCTTGGGGTGACCATAACACCGAGCACATCACCGGAGGCACACATCAACCAAATAACCGCTGCAGCATACGGGCGCCTGGCAAACCTGAGAATAGCGTTCCGATACCTTAATAAGGAATCGTTCAAGACACTGTACACTGTGTATGTTAGGCCCATACTGGAGTATGCAGCACCAGTCTGGAACCCACACCTGGTCAAGCACGTCAAGAAGTTAGAGAAAGTACAAAGGTTCGCAACAAGGCTAGTCCCAGAGCTCAAGGGAATGTCGTACGAGGAAAGGTTAAGGGAAATCGGACTGACGACACTGGAGGACAGAAGGGTCAGGGGAGACATGATAACGACATACAAGATACTGCGGGGAATAGACAAGGTGGACAGAGATAGGATGTTCCAGAGAGGGGACACAGGGACAAGGGGTCACAACTGGAAGCTGAAGACTCAGACGAGTCACAGGGACGTTAGGAAGTATTTCTTCAGTCATAGAGTTGTCAGCAAGTGGAATAGCCTAGCAAGTTAAGTAGTGGAGGCAGGAACCATACATAGTTTTAGAAGAGGTATGACAAAGCTCAGCAAGCAGAGAGAGAGAGGATCCAGTAGCGATCAGTGAGAGGCGGGGCCGGGAGCTGAGTCTCGACCCCTGCAACCACAATTAGGTGAGTACAATTAGGTGAGTACACACACACACACACACAACACACACACACACACACCCTCACACACACACACACACACACACACACACACATACACACCACACACACACACACACACACACACACACACACACACACACACACACACACACATACACACACACACACACACACACACACACACACACACACACACACACACACACACACACACACACACACACACCAAAAACATAAAAAATCACCAAAACTGACCTCAAGAGGACAAAACAAGATTGTCCTCGCTGAACAGGACAAAAAATATTGTCCTCAACGCTCACCTGAGAACAATTACAAAAAAAGCTCACTAGAAGAAGAGGAAAGAGTGTGAAAGCTCACCAGGGTGAAGAAGGAGCGTCCTTGATGTGGGTAATTCCTTACAGCTTACCTAGCCTATAGGCATGACCTACTTAGACTAGTGGGATTTTTTCCACCGGTGACTCCGCCTACCACTGCTTCACCTCACCTGTATGCAGTGTATAAGCTCTTTCTCCACGCTTATGCTGTACTTCTATCATGATTGATGGACTGAACACATCGTCTCCAGGCTGAGGGACTGATTACCTCAAACTCCTCCTCATCATCATCATTCTTCTCTCTATTGGACTGAAGAAACCACTGGCTGGCGAAACGTTTACAGAATAAATATACCTAAATGTTGCACAGTTGGTATATCCTCACCTGAGGAAGTTAGTATATCCTCACTTCAGGAAACTGATATATCCTCACCTGAGGAAGTTGATGTATCCTCACCTGAGGAAGTTGATGTATCCTCACCTGAGGAAGTTGATGTATCCTCACCTGGGGAAGCTGATATATCCCCACCTGAGGAAGTTGGTATATCCCCACCTGAGGAAGTTGATATATCCTCACCTGGGGAAGCTGATATATCCTCACTTGAGGAAGTTGATATATCCTCACCTGAGGAAGTTGATATATCCACACCTGAGGAAGTTGGTATATCCCCACCTGGGGAAGCTGATATATCCTCACCTGAGGAAGTTGATGTATCCTCACCTGGGGAAGCTGATATATCCCCACCCGAAAAAGTTGATATATCCCCACCTGAGGAAGTTGATATATCCCCACCTGAGGAAGTTGATGTATCCTCACCTGAGGAAGTTGATATATCCCCACCTGAGGAAGTTGATGTATCCTCACCTGAGGAAGTTGATATATCCCCACCTGAGGAAGTTGATATATCCCCACCTGAGGAAGTTGATGTATCCTCACCTGAGGAAGTTGATATATCCCCACTGAGGAGTTGATATATCCCACCTGAGGAAGTTGATATATCCCCACCTGAGGAAGTTGATGTATCCTCACCTGGGGAAGCTGATATATCCTCACCTGAGGAAGTTGATGTATCCTCACCTGGGGAAGCTGATATATCCCCACCCGAAAAAGTTGATACATCCTCACCCGAGGAAGTTGATATATCCTCACCTGAGGAAGTTGATATATCCTCACCTGAGGAAGTTGATATATCCTCACCTGAGGAAGTTGATATATCCTCACCTGAGGAAGTTGATATATCCTCACCTGAGAAGGTTGGATGTTGCATTATCCTCCATAATATCCAGGACCACCTTCCTCATCATCCTCACTAGCTGGTCCACGACCACGTCCGCTGCAACAGCTTCCTGTGGGCAGTTGCAGCATCTGGCACGACCCATCACGAACGATGCAGACGACGCAGAACACGACGTACGACCCTGCAGGGTGTTGCCCTCAGCGTCTGTGCTTGCCACGTACTCCTGACGCAGAGGGTCATTATCTGCAGGAGGAACAAGGACGAACATTGGTCTGTAGTCTATACACACACACAAACAACACACACACACACCAACACACACACACACACACACCACACACACACACTGACACACATACACACACACACACACACACCACACACACACACACACTACACACACACACACACACACACACACACACCACACACACTGACACACACATACTCACACATACACACACACACACACACACACACACACACACACACACACACACACACACACACCACACACACACACACACACACACACACACACACACTTACACGTTCACGAGAATTTTTTTGCTAGAAAATCAAAGAAAAAAATTCAAACAATGGGCGTTGTTTTCATTGTTTGAAATTACAAAAGAAAGTGAAAAGATAACTTAAGTGAGGCAAACACTGTGTGTGAGGAGGTGTGTGTGTAGTTACACTGTGTGTGAGGAGGTGTGTGTGTAGTTACACTGTGTGTGTAGTTACACTGTGTGTGAGGAGGTGTGTGTGTAGTTACACTGTGTGTGAGGAGGTGTGTGTGTAGTTATACTGTGTGTGAGGAGGTGTGTGTGTAGTTACACTGTGTGTGTAGTGTTACACTGTGTGTGAGGAGGTGTGTGTGTAGTTACCACTGTGTGTGAGGAGGTGTGTGTGTGTAGTTATACTGTGTGTGAGGAGGTGTGTGTGTAGTTACACTGTGTGTGAGGATGTGTGTGTGTAGTTACACTGTGTGTGAGGAGGTGTGTGTGTAGTTACACTGTGTGTGAGGAGGTGTGTGTGTAGTTACACTGTGTGTGAGAGGAGGTGTGTGTGTAGTTACACTGTGTGTGAGGAGGTGTGTTGTGTAGTTACACTGTGTGAGAGGAGGTGTATGTGTAGTTACACTGTGTGTGAGGTGTGTGTGTAGTTACACTGTGTGTGAGGAGGTGTGTGTGTAGTTACACTGTGTGTGAGGAGGTGTGTGTGTAGTTACACTGTGTGTGAGGAGGTGTGTGTGTAGTTACACTGTGTGTGAGGAGGTGTGTGTGTAGTTACACTGTGTGTGAGGAGGTGTGTGTGTAGTTACACTGTGTGTGAGGAGGTGTGTGTGTAGTTACACTGTGTGTGAGGAGGTGTGTGTGTAGTTACACTGTGTGTGAGGAGGTGTGTGTGTGTAGTTACACTGTGTGTGAGGAGGTGTGTGTGTAGTTACACTGTGTGTGAGGAGGTGTGTGTGTAGTTACACTGTGTGTGAGGAGGTGTGTGTGTGTAGTTACACTGTGTGTGAGGGGGTGTGTGTGTAGTTACACTGTGTGTGAGGAGGTGTGTGTGTAGTTACACTGTGTGTGAGAAGGTGTGTGTGTAGTTACACTGTGTGTGAGGAGGTGTGTGTGTAGTTACACTGTGTGTGAGGAGGTTGTGTGTGTAGTTACACTGTGTGTGAGGATGTGTGTGTGTAGTTACACTGTGGTGTGAGGAGGTGTGTGTGTAGTTACACTGTGTGTGAGGAGGTGTGTGTGTAGTTACACTGTGTGTGAGGATGTGGTGTGTGTATTTACACTGTGTGTGAGGAGGTGTGTGTGTAGTTAAACTGTGTGTGAGATGTGGTGTGTGTAGTTACACTGTGTGTGAGGAGGTGTGTGTGTAGTTACACTGTGTGTGAGGTGTGTGTGTAGTTACACTGTGTGTGATGATGTGTGTGTGTGTAGTTACACTGTGTGTGGATGTGTGTGTGTGTAGTTACACTGTGTGTGAGGAGGTGTGTGTGATGTAGTTACTCTGTGTGTGAGGTGTGTGTACAGTTACACTGTGTGTGAGGAGGTGTGTGTGTAGTTACACTGTGTGTGAGGTGTGTGTGTAGTTACACTGTGTGTGAGGAGGTGTATGTGTAGTTACACTGTGTGTGAGGAGGTGTGTGTGTAGTTACACTGTGTGTGAGGAGGTGTGTGTGTAGTTACACTGTGTGTGAGGAGGTGTGTGTGTAGTTACACTGTGTGTGAGGTGTATGTGTAGTTACACTGTGTGTGAGGACGTGTGTGTGTAGTTACACTGTGTGTGAGGTGTGTGTGTAGCTACACTGTGTGTGAGGAGGTGTGTGTGTGTGTAGTTACACTGTGTGTGAGGTGTATGTGTAGTTACACTGTGTGTGTGAGGATGTGTGTGTGTAGTTACACTGTGTGTGAGGAGGTGTGTGTGTAGTTAAACTGTGTGAGGTGTGTGTGTAGTTACACTGTGTGTGAGAAGGTGTGTATGTAGTTACACTGTGTGTGAGGTGTGTGTGTAGTTACACTGTGTGTGAGGTGTGTGTGTAGTTATACTGTGTGTGAGGTGTGTGTGTAGTTACACTGTGTGTGAGGTGTGTGTGTAGTTACACTGTGTGTGAGGTGTGTGTGTAGTTACACTGTGTGTGAGGAGGTGTGTGTGTAGTTACACTGTGTGTGTGAGGTGTGTGTGTGTAGTTTACAATGTGTGTGAGGAGGTGTGTGTGTGTAGTTACACTGTGTGTGAGGTGTATGTGTAGTTAGACTGTGTGAGGAGGTGTGTGTGTAGTTACACTGTGTGTGGTGGTGTGTGTGTAGTTACACTGTGTGTGAGGAGGTGTGTGTGTAGTTACACTGTGTGTGAGGAGGTGTGTGTGTAGTTTAACTGTGTGTGAGGAGGTGTGTGTGTAGTTACACTGTGTGTGAGGTGTATGTGTAGTTACACTGTGTGTGAGGACGTGTGTGTGAGTTACACTGTGTGTGAGGTGTGTGTGTGTAGTTACACTGTGTGTGAGGAGGTGTGTGTGTGTGTAGTTACACTGTGTGTGAGGTGTATGTGTAGTTACACTGTGTGTGTGAGGATGTGTGTGTGTAGTTACACTGTGTGTGAGGAGGTGTGTGTGTAGTTAAACTGTGTGTGAGGTGTGTGTGTAGTTACACTGTGTGAGAAGGTGTATGTAGTTACACTGTGTGTGAGGTGTGTGTGTAGTTACACTGTGTGTGAGGTGTGTGTGTAGTTATACTGTGTGTGAGGTGTGTGTTGTTACCTGTGTGTGAGGTGTGTGTGTAGTTACACTGTGTGTGAGGTGTGTGTGTAGTTACACTGTGTGTGAGGAGGTGTGTGTGTAGTTACACTGTGTGTGAGGTGTGTGTGTGTAGTTACAATGTGTGTGAGGAGGTGTGTGTGAAGTTACACTGTGTGTCAGGAGGTGTGTGTGTAGCTATACTGTGTGTGAGGAGGTGTGTGTGTAGTTACACTGTGTGTGAGGTGTATGTGTAGTTACACTGTGTGTGAGGTGTATGTGTAGTTACACTGTGTGTGAGGTGTGTGTGTGTAGTTACAATGTGTGTGAGGAGGTGTGTGTAGTTACACTGTGTGTGAAGAGGAGTGTGTGTAGTTACACTGTGTGTGAGGTGTATGGTTACACTGTGTGTGAGGAGGTGTGTGTGTAGTTACACTGTGTGTGAGGTGTATGTGTAGTTACACTGTGTGTGAGGTGTATGTGTAGTTACACTGTGTGTGTGAGGAGGTGTGTGTGTGTGTAGTTACACTGATGTGTTTAGGTGTATGTGTAGTTACACTGTGTGTGTGAGGATGTGTGTGTGTGTAGTTACACTGTGTGTGAGGAGGTGTGTGTGTAGTTAAACTGTGTGTGAGGTGTGTGTGTAGTTACACTGTGTGTGAGGAGGTGTGTGTGTATTTACAACTGTGTGTGAGGTGTGGTGTGTAGTTACACTGTGCCTGAGGTGTGTGTGTGTAGTTACACTGTGTGTGAGGTGTGTGTGTAGTTACACTGTGTGTGGGTGTGTGTGTAGTTACACTGTGTGTGAGGTGTGTTTTTGTAGTTACACTGTGTGTGAGGAGGTGTGTGTGTAGTTACACTGTGTGTGTAGTTACAATGTGTGTGAGGAGGTGTGTGTAAATTACACTGTGTTTTGAGGAGGTGTGTGTGTAGTTACACTGTGTGAGGTGTATGGTGTAGTTACACTGTGTTTGAGGAGGTGTGTGTGTAGTTACACTTTTGTGTGAGGTGTGTGTGTAGTTACACCTGTGTGAGGAGGTGTGTGTGTGTGTAGTTACACTGTGGTGTGAGGTGTATGTGTAGTTACACTGGTGTGTGAGGAGGTGTGTTTTGTAGTTACACTGTGTGTGAGGTTTTGTTTTGTAGTTACACTGTGTGTGAGGTGGTGTGTGTAGTTACACTGTGTGTGAGGTGTGTGTGTAGTTACACTGTGTGTGAGGAGGTGGTGTGTGTAGTTAAAACTGTGTGTGAGGTGTGTGTGTAGTTACCAAATGTGTGTGAGGTGTGTGTGTAGTTACACTGTGTGTGAGGTGTGTGTGTAGTTACACTGTGTGTGAGGAGGTGTGTGTGTAGTTACACTTTTGGGGAGGTGTGTGTGTGTAGTTACAATGTGTGTGAGGAGGTTTTGTGTGAAATTACACTGTGTGTCAGGAGGTGTGTGTTTTAGCTATATGTGTGTGAGGAGGTGTGTGTGTAGTTACACTGTGTGTGAGGATGGTTTTGTTTTTGTAGCTACACTGTGTGTGAGGTGTGTGTGTAGTTACACTGTGTGTGAGGAGGTGTATGTGTAGTTACACTGTGTGTGTGAGGTGTGTGTGCAGTTACACTGTGTGTGAGGAGGTGTATGTGTAGTTACACTGTGTGTGAGGAGATGTGTGTGAGGATGTGTGTGTGTAGTTACACTGTGTGTGAGGAGGTGTATGTGTAGTTACACTGTGTGAGAGGTGTGTGTGTAGTTACACTGTGTGTGAGGAGGTGTGTGTAGTTACACTGTGTGAGGATGTGTGTGTGTGTAGTTACACTGTGTGTGAGGAGGTGTGTGTATAGTTAAACTGTGTGTGAGGTGTGTGTGTAGTTACACTGTGTGAGGATGTGTGTGTGTAGTTACACTGTGTGTGAGGAGGTGTGTGTGTAGTTACACTGTGTGTGTAGTTACAATGTGTGTGAGGAGGTGTGTGTAGTTACACTGTGTGTGAGGAGGTGTGTGTGTAGTT